TTTTTTATAATTTTTTGTTTTATAATTTAGAGTACATCAAGCTTTGAAGTTGGATCCACTAATAAAAATGTATACTCTGCCATTCTATAGTTCAAGTTTTGGGCCAATGAAGAAATCAATTTTTTTAAATGTAACAAGTCAGTGTAGGAGTGTATTTTTAAGATTTCTTATAAAGATATTAATTTTAAGGTGTATAAAAACTAATTAAAAAACATCATAGTCGTAAATATCGAAAAGAAAGGAAAGGAAAAAAATTTAGATCATACAAAATTATAAAATAATGTAGTTAGATGAGAGACAAATCCTAATATAAAGGGCCTATTTAATGGTAATTATTATGTAGTCTGAACTGCAATACTTTTATTTTTTTTAATGAAAATTTTGTATTTTGTTTTACTTTTATATTAAAAGAATATGTTAAATGCTAATTTTAGTCCCTCAACTTTATAGTGTTGTGCAATTTTCATCATTCAACTATTTTTTGCATTTTTTTATCCCTCAACTCCAAAAACTGCAAAATTTTTATCCTTCTGTCAGCCAAAGTGACACTTAGCTATTAAAATATTCCAAAATGGCATATTTTTTATGACATGTAATAACACATTATATAATCAGCTTACATAGACATAAAAATGTCAAGTCAAATTCCACAACATTAAACAATTTACTAATTAGAAGACAAAAATACAATTGTACCCCCACTTTCATCTTCTTCGTGGTTCTCTGTCTCTCTCACTGTTCATCTTCCCTTTTCCTCTACCATTGTCCATCTCCCTTTCCCCTCTACCATTGTCCATCTCCCCTTCCCTTTTCCATTCCCAATCATCTGAGCCCTCCTTTTCTTTCTCTCGTCGAAAAGGAAGGCATTTGATTTCTCATCTCACATTGCTAACAATAACAACAATAAATTTGATAGTCTGGTGCTAAGGGAGAAAAAAAAAAAAGATACTAGATTTGAAAGTAAAAAAAAAAAAAGGAAAACCCATTTTTGGGTTCAACACGAACCCTTTGATGGGTTCATAAGAACCCTCCTTAGGTTTCTCATGAACCCAGAATTGGGTTTGCGATGAACCTATATAATTTGGGTTTGCGACAAAAAAAGATACTAGATTTGAAAGGAAAAAAAAAAAAAGGAAAACCCATTTTTGGGTTCAACACGAACCCTTTGATGGGTTCATAAGAACCCTCCTTAGGTTTCTCATGAACCTAGAACTGGGCTCTTGACAAACCCACATCTTCTAGGTTTGTGACGAACGCAAATCATTTGGGTTCCTCGTGAACCTAGATTGTCTCTATAGGGAGATGAGGGGGAGGGGAGAAGAGAGAGTGATGAAGAGTGAGGAAGGTTGGAAATAGTGGTGGTGGCAAGGAGAACAAAGAGAGAAAGGGTAGAGGAGAATGATGGCGAGAATAATAAATTAATGGTATTTTAGTAATTTTATATTTAAAGAACTGAAAAGAATTAAAAATGATAATTGAGTCTAACTTGGCAATTTGACATTGTCCACCTAAGCTAATTGTATGATTTGTCATTGATATGTCATTACAAAAATAAGAAAAATGCCACATGGACCAAGTTAGTTGCCCTAATTGATAAAGGGATTAAAACTATGTAGTTTTTAAAGTTGATAGACAAAAAAAAGTACAAAAAATAGTTGAGGGATGAAAATTGTGCTACACTATAAGGTTGGGGGATCAAAATTAGCATTTAATCGAAAAAATAATATAGAATTTAAAAAATTTAGACACCACTTAGTATAATTGTGATTTTTAGTTTTTAATTTTGATTTTCAAAATTCAAACAATCAAAATTAATGAATGAAAACTAAAATTAAAAATTAAAATTGATAACTTATTGAGTATAAAATTTTAAAACTAAAATTAAAAATTGTAAACTTGCTTAATTGATAAAACTTCTCAATTTTATTCTAGAGTTTCTAAGGATTTTAAAACCTAGGTTAAAAAACATGAAATCATAACCATACTAAATGGAGTTTTAATTTTTAATCATAAAAAGTTTAGTGATATAGTTTTTATTTTTAAATGTAATAGACCTTTAATTTAATTCTTGTTGCTTTAAACTAATATTTTCTATTTTTGAATTTGTTGATTAAATAGAAATAAATTAATAAATTAACCATAATGAGCAATAGTGTAGTAGAGCGAGCCTTTTCCTTGTGGCTGGGGATCTAGTCTTCAAACTTTTTCTCAAGGACCCAAGGAAGACAAGGTAAGATATGGAAGGGGAAATAATAACGTGAAGAAGAGAATATACAATGATACAAAGAAAAAGGGAAAAGAAGATAATGGAATGAATGAAGAAATCGGCAAAATGAAGAGAGAAAGGGAGAGAAGAAAGAAAAGAAGGATAAAATGTCTTGCGAACCATCTTGTCCTGGTGTTCAAAGAGACGAAGTTATTGATCTTTTGAGCCCTTTTCTAGTGCATTCCACTGTGCATCCAGTTTCCTGTAGTTAATGATCAGCAACTTAATGTAACTGATCGATTTTAGTGACTCAGAAATGGACCTTTCACCTGAACGTGAGAGGAAACAAGAGTGCTTAGATCGTTTCTAGCCAGAATTCATGATGATCTTCCATTAGATGGCCGCCATGAGGTACTTTCATGCATGTCCTAATTGTATAATACATATATGCCAATGAGTTTGCATTTCTGACGTATCATATATCTTCTGCATTCTGAGTGGTGAGATGGAGGAGAGCAATCCCCTGAATAATGGTATTTATTGGCTCCACATGGGAGGTTGCCCTGATGATTTAGGACCAAGTGTCATCGAGAAGAATGAGAATAACAACAGATGACTAAGCTCAGAAAACGTTTGCACAAAGGGGAAAGATGCACCTAGTGGGTGAGCTCATAAATCTCGCCCAAAATTCATGCCTTCCTACTTCCTACCATCCTATACCAGCTAGTTAAATCATCCAATAACATTACTAACAAAACTCTCATCAATCTCCAGTTGCAACAAAAAGAGGAATAAGGCTTTGTTTGATAATGTTTCTCAGAGACTGATAGTGCAAGCTCACACTTTTCTTCTGCCTAATTGTGTAGTATGGAAATTACTCAGTTATACCCAATAATAGCAACATATGATACGTGCAATGGCAATGAATCATATCTTAGCCATAATTTGAAAACAAATGAGATTCAACGTGTTTCATTTTCACAAGAAAATGTTGGGAATATCAAGCTAATCATTACAAATAACAAAAATTTTCTACACAGCATAATTTACAAAACTGAAGCAACTCATCACTTGAATTGTCTCCTCAGCTACAATATAGACACGTTTTGCTTTTGAAAATTGCGCATACAATCTGGAGCACAAATAGTAAATTGATGCATCAAAGCATGTTTTTAAGTGATACATTACTGCAATCACGGCCAAGCTAACAAACTATAACACAGAGTTTGCTTACGCATTATAACTATTTTTGTTTTTCTGGATAACATGGGTATCAGGGTCTTAGGCATTATAACTTAGAAAAGGAAATCCAAATATAAGTTTCTTTTATAAGATATTCCACCAAAATAATAATTAAACAAGAGAAAGCATTCAAAATTTTAAATTAAGTTAGAAACCATCCTACTTTACCTGTTAGTTCCTTGGCATTGTTTCTGGCCTCCTTCAATAAATGGAAGCTGTTCGCAGGATCATCCACAAGGACTGCAAATTTCAAGTTCAAAAGTAAGTTCCTAAAAGCACCAGCCAGTTCTTCTAATGCTTCTTTACTTCCAATGTGGTAACTATCAGCAGATCCCAATATGGTTTCCCATCCCCGTTCATGATCACTAGGTAAAATTTCTATCTGTTGCTTTTCTCTTGATTTGCGTTTCATCCTGTTGTTTTCCGTTGCTTCCATCGTTGCAGCCATCATCGTAGCTTGTTTAACACATGAAGAAGGTAACTGCAATCAAACCAAGAAATATTAAAACAACTCACACAAGAAAGAAATGTTTAGCCTGAAAATTATATCTATATTCACATAGCTTGAGCCAGAACAAACAGCAATATATAAGCCACTCTAGAACAGGGCCAGCCTTTTCTTCCTAGCATGCAATGTACATTTACCAGCCTCCTTACCAACACTTGCATATTAATCTCTGCTGGGTTCAAGTTTACAGATTCTCTGTAGAGAAGGAGAGGGAGAGGATTACCTGGGCAAGCTGAGCAACCTTAAACCCAAAACTCCGTGCTGAAACACCGGGAACAAGCTTATATAAGTAGGTGATTTCTTCATGATCAGATTTTGAATCCACAGTATTCTCGTTGTGTGAGGTAAGAAAAGAAACATGGTAAGCACCAACAGAGCCAGGAAATTCAGTTTTAATATCAGCGATCTTTGGATAGTGGGTGACAAAGAGGACCATGCATCTTTTCTGCTCTAGCAAATGATGCAGTGTAGCATAAGCAATAGCTACACCATCATGTGTACTAGTTCCCCTCCCAAGTTCATCAATGATAACCAGTGAGCGAGCAGTACAATTGTGGAGTATTTGAGAAGCCTCACTCAATTCTTCTAAAAAGGTACTTCTTCCTTGTTGGATACTGTCAGAAGCACCCATTCGTGTGTAGATACCATCTAGCACATGCAGAGTAGCTGATGATGCTGGTACAAAGGAACCAACCTAGAAGGATCAGAGGACACATTTTAAACAGTAAGCCCTGTAGTAATTTTACTTTGAAAGAAATGAAGTTTTTACTTAATAAGAATGAATTAACAGTTAATCCTAGCACAATGAAATTTTACAAAGTTATCCATCCAGAGCACAAAACAAAATTATGCAGAAGGAGAAAATAAGACACCAAAGGATGAAAATCACTTTAACACTGGTTAGCATCTAATTTAGCAACTGATTTTATATGGTCCCAGTGATTCAAAACCTATGGCAGAGTGAAAGATGACAAAGAGATTCAGCAAAACATTTCACAAAGACCAACTTGCTTGAGTGATCTGCCAATTCTACCTGAGCCATTATAGCGATTAAGGCAACCTGCCGAATGTAGCAACTCTTGCCCCCCATGTTAGGACCAGTAACTATCTGACAATTCTCCCTGTCAACATGTAACTTTGTGTCATTTGGAACAAAACTGTCCTGTAATATTGTCTCAAGAACCTGATAAAGAATAGAACACAGTAAAAATGAAGCGCCACTGGAACAAATTAACAATATTGTAATACAAAATATCACCAACAGAAACATGTGATGCATCAACTGAGAATTGACAAACAAGTTGACCAACTTTCCAGGCAAAAACTTAGAATAGGAAATTGATGAATTAGGAGGTCAATGACACTGCCCTCTGATGTATGTTAGAACATGCACAAGCCAAAGAGTCTCAACCAATTTCTGTAAGAAATGCCTATCAAGTTACAAGCTTTATGTATAGTTATGTTTAAGACAAGAACTATTATGGACAGACTGATATGAACTATTCCCTTATTCAGTGAGTTAATTTCTAACCATTAACATTATTTCTTATACAAGCAACCAAATCGGTTAAAACTCAAGTTCTTAAAACCATTCACTGAAAAAAGAATAGGGTCTTTCCTGACCAAGATACCACAGGAGACTGGTTTGAGTATTATCATTACTTAGAATGTCCCTTGCCCTATAGCCTATAGGTAATTTCTTATACAAGGTAATAAAATCTGTTAAAGCTCAAGTTTTTATAATCATTAACTGAAAAAAGAGTAGGGTCTTTCCTGACCAAGAAACTGCAGGAGACTGTATTATCTCACTTAGAATGCACCCTTGTACAATGGGTAAACCAACCAATAATAACCAAACTTTCATAATTTCATTTATATATTGCCTGTTCACAATTTCATTTATAAGTTGCCTGTGAAAGCAACCTGTAACAACCTTAGCAAATAAAATGTTAGTTGAATAACACCTTCAGCACTAGAGATCTTTTTACCAAGTTATGTATTTTGGGAGAGGGAGGTGGTGGGGGTGGGGGGCGTGATGTGTTTGTTGAGGCCAACATATTTCAAATTAATTCAGTCAGAAATGGTAATTTTAAGGCATACCGGATGACGACCAGAGCAGATCTGTATCTGAACAGGTTCATTGTCATTCACAAACACAGGACGAACATAATTCTGAAATAAATTTGAACTCTATGTCATCCATATATAGCCTGAAGGTCAAGAATAAAGTTTAAGGCCTACCAAGTGTACAAAAAAAAAAAGAAAAAAGAAAACCTTATTTCTTGAAAGAGTGGCAAGTGAATGCAAACAGTCCAAAGCAGCAAGTGCTTGAATAGCAGCTTGAAATTCAGCATAATATTCACTGAATCCCCTTAGAAAGCTTTCCCAGGCAGCACGGCAAACAACAGTGAGTTCTTCATTTGCCAGTGTTAACTGATCTAGAGCAGTCAATACCTCAGGTGGATGATACCTTATCATCTTTTTAGTACTATTTACCTTCACCCAGCTTAAAGGTACCTTTACGTCTATGGACAGCTGCTGTCACGGCCAGATTCATTCAGATGGACAAAACAACATGGTATTTTAAAAAAATATAAGTCAACTAGAAAGCTTAAAATTTTTGAAAACTTTAGATGAAAAAACAACACCCTACCTCGATCAAATGTGTGGTTCCTGACACACTCATAAATTCCAAACTGCGCACACCAAGTTTCTTGCGAAATAAGTCAATTAAGGAATCCAATTTCTCCTTCGCCAATTTTACAGCCATCCGGGCCCTAGCAACCTGCCCATAGGCCATAACCAACCATATCGTGATGCAGCCATTGAAGAACCAAATTAAAAGAGGTTAATATTTAGAAGATAGACAATTCCAAATACAAACCTCTGGAAATTGGCCATCAGATATGATGATTAAGTTTGCTAGGTCCCCTTGATTAGCTGCTTCTTTATTTACAGTAGCCAGAAGTTTTGCTGCCTTGCTGAGTACATTGGATGATGAAGCAGTCAAAATCAACTTTTTTAATAATGCAGAGTGCACGGTTGTTGTCTGCACTTTATCACTTTGGTAGTCTTGATTAATGTGAACCCGCTGAAGTTGTTTTCCAGCAGATAAAATAGCTTGCATAACTGCAATGAACTATACCATCAAATCATTTACAAAATGTCAGCAGATGATCCAGTGAAAAATTGGCACTCACTACAATGTAGACATATCTGTAAATTACCTACTAACCTTTTTGTTTTTTGGCCAATCAAAACATAAATTACCCACTAACTTAAAACCTAACTTGCAGGGTTAAGGCTAGGGGATCAAACCTCTAGATATAAATAGAAAAATGTCCTCGCTACTAACAGATGTATGAGTAATTAGAAAAATGTGCTATTCATGATTGAACAGAGGCTCAATAAATAGTTAAATGAAAACGATGTTTTGTTGCTTCTCTGCAGCAGGAAAAAAAAAAAAAAAAAAGAATAAACACCAATTCAAATTTAAACTGCTACTTTTAGATCTGGAATGGTATATATAGTAAAACAATCTATTCATCATCAACACAGATTCAAAGGGTGAGACTTGAGAGAGTGAACCGAAATACAAACAATGAAACATTCCATGGGGAAAATTAGCTTCACTTGATTAGTTCTTGCTCCCTAGCTCTATACACAATCACCAAGAAAAAGTGGGTTAAAAGCAGTTACCTCAGATGGTGTTGCAGTCCGATGGAAAATTCTTGTTATTCCACGTTGAATATCAGGTGATCTTCCTAAGAAAGTCAATACAGAGGAAACCACGGAATAGAATTCTGGTTGTGCAATAGTTATAGCAGAATCTTCCTCATCATTTTCAATAAAACTTGGTGATACTTTACAAGACCCCATTGACTCAGCAATCTCAGAAACAGCATCAAGTCGAGCAGATATCTTGTTTCTATCACATAATGGATGAATCACCTGAATGACAAAATAGGCCTTCAAGGTCACATCAAAATTTAGGTAGAACAGAGATAAAGTCGTCACCATAAGATGATCCTATACCCAGTGTCTAAGAAGCCTTGACCCATAGATGGTAAGCGTATAATTCATGATATGCAGCAATGAGCCAGACTCAGAACCATTTGAATTATTCCTCAAAACCTGAAGAAAGTGAAAAAATCTATTCAGTGTACGACCAAAGTTAAAGTGAGAAGTAGAAAATTCTTGATCAAAACAATCAGTAGGAAAGAATCTGTTCCAGCTAGCTACCAGCAAGCACTAAAGACATATTCTATTGTTCAATTTTTAAAAGGTTATTGTGAGTTTCCCAAAAAGAAATAACTGGATTCAACCTCTCACTTCAGTCAAGCTCCTATTGATCCAAAGTTGAATCCTAAAGGCACTTTCACCACATTGTCAGGCCCTGGTATATCTGATCAAAGATACAAATTTCTGTTGAATTTAAGTATGAATCTTAATGTGTTTTTGTTCAATTCTCCATCATGGACACATCCATTACACATAGACAAGCACTGCTCTACAATTAACCCTCACACTCACATCAAAGCTGTAGAATGACTTTCCACAAGCCAATGACAGATTTCTAAGACCAGTCAATGATAGGAAGCAAGATAATTTCTCAGCAAGACAAATAACTGAGGTCTATTACCTCCAATTGTTGAAGTGCATTTGCCGAAAGGGTCATCTCCACATTGCTTGTTAGGGATCGAAATGATGCTCCAAGGCACATAATTCTTTCAAATCCAAATTGCTTGAGATGACGAACAGTTAAGGCCAATGCTTGTACAGCCAAATCTGGCATTTTCATAATTCCCTTTACAATAAAAAAAAAAAAGCCTAGAATTTAAATTAATTTAATAGAAGCAATGTCAATTCATATATATATATATATATATAAAGCAACAGCTTGAGCAAGTGAAAAAAAATTGAAATTACTTGAATTAAAGAGAAAATTAGGGCAGAAGCAAATTTTGTAATTGATGGACCATGAAAAAAAAAGAAAGCGCAGCCTAATTCAGCCAGAACATCTTATGTATAGTTTACTTCACAGGATATTGAGATGGATCAGCTACAGAAACAGTTATAACATTGCCCAGAAACCATGATCCATGACTAAAGCTCCATTATGTATGGTGGAAAAAAGTTTTAAAAAACAGTCATACCTCAATTGCAGAGTGATATTTTTTCTCTCCCATCACATCTGCTGACTGCTGATTTTCATCAGCTGCTAAATTTATGTCATCCATCTCCTCATATAAAGACATTACTTCAGCAAATGCACCACCATCATTAAAGACATTTAGAGAGGCATGTTCCACACGGACATGTGAGGCAGGTCCAGCATAAGCCAGTAGCAACTGATCATAAAGATCCTGACATTAGTCTTGTAAATTTGGAAAGAAAAGCATACTATCATATGAATCAAAAGTATGTCAATGATAACTGAGTGTTAATTCCATGAAGAAATATCCCTTCTAAGGATCACTAGATATATGAAAATAAATAAATGATAACAACAATAGTAACAATAACATTAATTGCAAAGATATCACTTGAACTTTTTTGGTAAATAAAGATAATAGTTAAACAATTACCATAAGTTCTCCCTTCCCACCAACAACTAGCGGTCTAAAAAATTCTCACTCTTGTTGAGCAACAAGTTTCACAAATAAAAAGAAACCAAAACATTTGAACAAACTCAAGTCTGTGCTCCCTTCCCACAGAGAACAATCTGGCTAAAAAATTCTTTCACTCATGTTGAGCAACAAGTTTCACTAATAAACAGAACTACACAACAAGAATCTACAAGATTCACATTTAACAACACATTTGAACATGACTCAAGCCTTCAAATAGAAAATAAATACTCTCAGCATTATCAATTGCAATAATTAAATTCCTAAGTCTTTTTTCATGGATCAGTTTAATATGTTATATTATAGTAAACTTAACACTAATAAAGCAAGTTCTCAAAAGAAAACCAAAATAACTAACACAATTTTACATTATCAAGTTGAGCTCCCCATTACCACCAAGAACCAGATGATTTTGAATTAAATATCAAAAAAGAATCCAAGCAATGCATGTAGAAATAAGCATCTTTTAACCAGTTTGAAGCAATCAAATCCAATGACAACCATAAAATACCTTCTCTGTTTGTTTAGAAAGAGGGCTGCCAAGCAACAATTCAGCCGGAGCCAAGTTTTCGATCACAGACTCAAGTCCGCTCCTCATTACACCGTCATCAAACTCCCCATAAACCACATCCCCAGTGGAAATCTCGACCCCAACAACAGCAATCCTCACATCAATCCCACCAATATCAGTACTCGAATTGTTCATACTCCTTTCCACCACACAAACCAAATAATTACTCTCACCACCACATTCCTCCTCCCTCCCTCCAACATCCTCAGCAGCCTCCAGCGTTGCCTTCGTGTACAATGCTGACAACCCCCTACCAAAAGGACCAGCCCGATTCGACCCATGTGCCTTAATGGCCGCTGTTTCAGTCTGTTTCACAACTCCCACCTTGTACCCAGCACTGACCAGCCTCCTCACGTGGAAATTCAATCGGAAAGTCGGCACGCTTGCGGTCAAAAAATTGTGGTCCATGTGGGCGTAAATGCCCAGGACTTTAGCCGCAATTTCAGCATCCTCCCCAAAGAACCGGAACCTGTAGCCAACCTCCACCATCAGGAGAACATCTGGATGCTTACTTTTCAGGTCTACGACTTGTTGCTCCAAAGGAGTGAACTTTTTAGGATTCCCAGGTTGGGTTGAAGATTGAGGAGTCGTTAAACAAGGTTCAAGAAGTTTTTCAAGGAACTTTTGATGGAGAGAGGGATTCGATTGAGGTGGTATAGGGTTTTTCGTGTGCGGGGATAGCTTGGGTTTCTTGGAGGTGGAAGCGAGGTAGGTCGAGAGGAGTTTCCGTTTAGACGGAGAGAAAGAGACGGTGGTAGAGACTTTAGCCGGTGGCGGTGGTGGGTCTGGATTCGGTTTTGGTTCTGGAGAAGAAGACGAAGGCTCTGCTGGCAATGAGGATGATGGGGTTTGGGATTTAGGAGCGAAGAATCGAGAAATGACCAGTTGCCTCTGCTTGCCCATGACGATGAACAACCGACCTTTGCGGTGACCGGCAGCAGAGACCGGAAATTATGTTTGGCCGCCGGAGGGTTTGTTTATTTGGCGCGCTTACCTTCACTGATTCTGCCTCTCAGGTGAAAACATTCTCTCTTCACATCTCTCCGTACCCAGCCCACCAACTTTTCCAGAGCGGCCAGAAGAATGGGTTGGGCTATGTTTATTAGTGACATGTGAATTGGGCCGGCCCTACATTATCTTGTAAACAATTTAAAAGTTTAGACCACTTAAAATCCTAAAAAGCACACAATGAAGTGCATTTAAGGCCAAAATTAAATAAGATAACGACTTAAAATAGTTTAGTAGTCACTTATTTTCGTTAAAATTAAAAAATTTTGAGTTTGAATCACATGACATGCAAATAAAATGTAATAAAGGATGAGATAGTTGTCTCTCATAATACAATTAAAATATATATATATATAGGCTAATGATTTTCATTCTCAAAAGTTATTGTCTCAATCCGACATCATTTGTTACATGAAATCCTTTTTGCCCAATTAAATTTTATTCCATGAAGTTTACATTTTGCTACATTCTGACGTTGATTGAAAATAAGATAATTTGTTTGGTTTGCATATAACTATTTGCAATTTCTTTGTGATTATACTATAACTTATAAGCTACTGTATTTGCACATAGCCCATTACTCAAGTAGCAATTTGTTATCTCTCATAATAAAGCTAGAGACTACCACTAAGTGTATGACTAAATTATAAAAGAATTGTGAGAGTTTTCAACATGTCTCCTGAGAAATTTTTGACTGTGGAATAAAAGTGCGTTGAATCTTTGGAACAAGTGTTGATTAACCATACGTTACATTTAAAATAATATTTTAATATATTTAACAAATTGAAGTAGTAATTTTATGTATCTTGGTGCATATATATTTCATTCTCTAAAAATTTTATTCTAGAATAATCATCAATTATTTATTTTCAAACACTTAATTATAAAAAAAAAAAAAAAAGCTTTGTATTGTTGATTTACTATTTATTTAAAATACATGGGATTCATTATAAACTACAATAAAGAATAAACAAAATACTAATAAAAATTATTAACTATGTCAGGTAAGGGACAACATGTCACCTTGTTATATTAAATAGATAGCTCTAATACGTGCCCTTAACAAGTTTGAAAAACCATAAATAGCCAGCCAAGAACCTGTCCCTAGTACCCTCGAACCTGTACCTCATAGTTGTCCCCAAACTGATCATGGGTATTAGGGTTAACAATGATAAATTAATTAAAAGCTTACGAATCATTGGGGAAGCGAGATTTTTTTTTTTTTTGACAAGAATAATGATTAGAAAATTAGTATAAATTAATTGTTAGCAACTGATTTTCAGACCGAGTGAATATTTCATCCCCTCAAATAAGGCGTGTGGTTATCAGGTCGATTTTTGGTGGAATTCACGATGATGGTGGAGTTTGAAACTCTGACCATCTCAACCAAACATTTAAAGTTTGGGGTCGAAACATTAGCCCTAAAAGCCCGATTCACGAAACGAGAATTGAACCCAGATTAATTGTAGACCCGGTGGTGCACCTTCAACCATATGTGCTACCAGCCCGAATCTTCCAGACAGATCGATATTTAATTTTCTATTTTGGTAGAAAGACAAATATTTAATTTGGGGTCCTGGAATTTGGAAGCTGCGGTGAAACTAGCCTTTTTTAATAAATGGGGGAGCTAAGGTTGAGACTTTACAACTGATAGAAGTTAAAAACTTAAAAGAGGATAGGAGCAAGGACAAAAGGCCATGCTTAGACCACGTAAGGGAAGAATACTCCAACAGCTTCTGTCCACACCATCCCATACAAAAAGTTGAGGCATAAAACCAACCAACGCTTCTCTTTTGCCCCTCAGCCACTTGAATTATGGTTTGCAATTTGGCATTAAATTCCATCCCTAAGGTGATGTAGAATATATATATATATATATATATTTATACACAAACACAAGAATCCCTTTTTATCTTTATTATTATTTTAAAATCCAAAACCACCCATTCTAAACATATAGGAGATCTATTTGATATTATTCCGATAAATAAGGTTTTCTTTTTATAGTAAGAAATATGATTAACAAATTAATATTTGTTCGAATACTTATCAAAGAGTTGATCTGATAATTATGTATTTTTACTTCTCATACAAAAAAACGTGACCACTTGAATCATACGAGAGAATGCCAATAAATAAGGTTTTGTTTATTATGGTTCTAGTTTTATATTTTTTATTTTAGTTTTAATTTATAAATTTTATAATTATTAAAAATTAAAACTAAAAATTAATAATAAAAAATTTATTTAAAATAAATTTTAACATTAACAACTAAAAGTAATTACTTAGTTAATAGTATTAAATTCGTTTTTGTTCTTATTTATCTAATAATCATAATATAATATATTACAAAAATATGTAAAAGTAAAGGAATTTTTTATTTAGATTTATAAAAGTTATAAAAATTTAAAATCACAATTATACTAAATAGAGTCTAAATTCATCAAAGTTGTAGAGTTTAACCAAATTAGTACATTTAACATGAAAACATTGATTGAAGATTAATATCATTGCTAAAACCTCTATAATACTAACAGTTATAAATTCCCATATATCAATATACCACAAAATGAAAATTTCAGTGATTACCCTAAGTCAACATAAATAAAGATAAATGTCATCACCAAACCGTACCAAAAAAATGTCATCCCCAAATTCTTTGCTCAATTATTCAGTTTTTTGAATTTCTAGATGGCGAAGAACTGGTATACAGCGATTGGTAATGAAAATTATAAATAACTTTGTAGAATGCGTGAATAGTTATGTTTTTTCTTTTTCTTTTTCTTTTTTTTTAACATTAACAGACAATTAGTTGATTAGCATTGAATATTTATCATTAATCTTAAATCAGAATTTTAATTTATGACATCAATTCTGCTGGCACACGTTTATGACCCCAACAATAATTATAATCAATAAAACTATAAAATATTGTTTTTAAAAATATTAATTCTATTTAATTTGATTAATAAAAGTAATTAATAACTATAATTTTTAATAAATAATTAATCTAACAGTTGATATATATTAATTAATAAATTAATTAAAATTAATTAACAAACTTATATTCTTAGACACTATTTATAAAAAAATTAAAATTTTAATAACTTTAATAATATTAATAATAGTAATAACCACATCTAAACTCTTGTTGATATGTTAGTATGGATGCAAAATACAGTATTATTGTAATTACATGTAATAAAATATTTCGTGGTTTGACAAATGGCTTTATTGTAATTACATAATACTATTTTATAATTCAAATAGTACTCAACTATAAAAAAGTAACTATTAATGACATTTAAAAGACTATCATGTCTCCCAGTTGGGCCTTTGATGTAGTGACGCAAAATCACGTATAAATGTAATTTTTTATTTTTAAAATAACGGTATGAATCCAATTTTTTATAAATTTATTCAAAAAAAAAAATTATCATGTCTCATTAATAGTTATTTTTAGACAAACACAATTTATACTGCATTCAAATTATATATATTTAATTTTATTTTGTTAACTAATAATTGTTATTAAGTTATTTTTAAATTAATGTTTATGTATTTTAAAATTAATGTCTATATATAATTTTAAGGGCAAGTCTACATCATGGATTTAATTTTTTTTTTTTTCTTGGTTGGATAAACGTATCCAGAAACTTGGACCTGCTCGACAAAAGTTGAATTTGAATCCGACCCAGTTATGTATTTAATTTTATTAGTATTTATCCGTACTACCTTATTGCATGGGTTGATATCAGCCTTTCATTCATTGGCCTGCAACTCGAAGAACCCCTAAAACCAATCCTCTACCCTCTAATCTCTGAATGGACGATGAACAACTTGTCCACCACAGTCCAAAGGGGAAAAGAACGAGAAAAAGATATCACCGAACAAGATAAACAAGACGAAGATGAAGAAAAACCTCGATGCGAATGGGATTTTTCTCTCTCCACCGTTGTCTCCTCCAGAATCACCTCCGGAGCTGTCTCTGACGCCCTCGGAGTCATCGAATTCGACCCTTCCAATACAGTCATTGCAACTGGAGGAATCGCCAGAAAAATTAGGATTTATTGTCTGAAATCGTTATTCCCCGAGAGCAGCCAAGGTGAGAGAAATACAACTCTGCTTTTAGACCATTCTAATGTATGTAGCAATTGTATATGCACGCCGGCGAAGCTCGGTAGTCTCAGATGGAAACCCGGGTCTGGCGGGAAGGTAATCGGATCTGGTGACTATGATGGGGTGGTTATGGAGTATGATTTAGAAAAAGGAGTCTCAGTCTTCGAACGGGACGAGCACGGCGGAAGACGGGTATGGAGCGTGGACTACACGCATTGGGATCCGGTAGTCGGGGCATCCGGGTCGGATGACGGGACCGTACAAATGTGGGACCCGAGATGCGGCGGCGACGGAGGGAGATGTGTGGCTGTAACCCAGCCTAGCGCGGCGCGCAGCCCCGTATGTTCCGTGGAGTTCAATCCGTTCGGTGGGCCGTTGGTTACCGTCGGATGCGCGGACCGGAAGGCATACGGCTACGATGTGAGGAGAATGGTGGAGCCCACAGTTGTGTTTGACGGGCACAAAAAGGCCGTCACGTATGTTAAATTCCTGGATTCCACCACCGTAATCTCTGCCGGTACCGATGGGTGTTTAAAGCTGTGGAATGTAAACGATTCTTCGAGTGCGGTTCGAACGTACAGAGGGCACGTGAACCATCGAAGCTTTGTCGGATTATCGGTGTGGAGACACGGCGGGTTGCTCGGGAGTGGGTCTGAGGATAATCAGGTGTTCGTCTATGATAGGAGATGGGGAAAGCCGACCTGGGTGCATGGGAACGAGCCAGGGTGTGACGGTGGGTTTGTTAACAGCGTGTGCTGGAGGCAGGTGGAGGAGGATAACTGCACGCTTGTGGCCGGAGGCTCCAACGGGACATTGCAGGTTTTCATGGGCAGGAGGAAGGCATGTTATGAAGAAGAATGATTATTGCCTAGCTTTCCTCATGAACAATTATCAGAAGAAATTTGTGGTGAATTCTCTATTCAATACATTTAAAAAAAATAATAATTGATATATATTCAATTTAATACATTTTTTAACACTTACAACAAATGTCTTTAAAAAGAATGGAATTTATGCAAATCATTTTCTTTATACGTTCTCTTCCATGTTTGGGAATTATTCTTTTGACATGCATGGTTAGAAAATTAGACTAAACTTTCTTCATGCATTTATCTATCATTTGTCAAGTGATTCTGAGGATTCTCGAGATACTTTTGATGATAAGGAATTGGACACCTATCTGCCGTTTATAAACTCTTATTTTTATTATTAACTAAGATCTTTCTGTCCCATACATGAAGAGGTTTTTACACAGATTTGGGGATGGACCGTGGTGGGAGCCAGTGTTTTATGTTGGCTGTTGGGGGAGGGGGAGATCCAACTTAATATCAAATGTTTTTTGTGGGAGTAGATAAGAGATGTAAATTTCCGAGTCGATCTGTAACAGGAAAAAAAGAAAAAACATGTAGGAATACTTATATAAGAAATTAAATGCTATTAATGAATCAACATATATACATAGATTATTTATTAAAAGTATTTAAATAATTTCATATACGTACATTGCTTATTTTCTTACAAGATCAACTTGCAATTACCTTTTTGAATAGATAATGCATTGTATATTGTATTTTTCTTAACACACACACACATATATATATATATATATTCACCCATTTTTCAATATTAATGTAATGACTAGAGTACGCTTTTAATCTATTATACAAAATGTATGTGTCACCCCCTCAGCGTGATGAGGAGGAACGCACAAATTGCTGCAAATTAAACTGCTTTTAAGGCTTTTGTAAGAATGTCAACCCACTAAGAAGAAGAAGAAGAAGAAGAAGAAACATTCCGAAGACTATTTTATTGGGAGACAGCTCTCTCTTGAACAAAATGTATATATGCCAATCTATATGTTGGTGTTGTACTGAATTGTTGGTAGACATGTAAGACACTCAGATTATCACAATAAAGAGAAGTAGGGAAGCAGGGAAGCAGGAACATGATGAACATGTAACTCTGACAATAACTAGATCCAAATTGGATCTACAACAGCATTAGCAACCCAACTTCAGCATTCGATCAGGAAAGTGTAGGTTGCTTCCTTGATAAAACAAGAAATAAGAGAGAAAACGATTAAAAAATAAGCAAAAACCTAAAGTTGATTGCCTCGTATCTAGAAAATCAGCCCAATTAGCATTAGTGAACACACCAAAAGATAATGAAGAACTCCTAAATTACTGAGGTCCATAATGCAGTGTGTCAAATATATATTGGTTCAATTGTTCAACTTTCAAAATTTGTTTTTAATCTGTTATAATAAGTTCAATTATTCTAGCCAACTATTGGCTCAATTGTTATAGACTTTTAATGGAGGTAGTCACATCACTTCAGAAAGTGGTTTGATAAATGAATATGGGAATGTTTGTGTCGGCAAAAACTTATTTTAGTCCATCATCTTATTAAATTTGAATGTTTTAGTTTATTATCTTATATTACGATACTTTAAACCCCTCACCTTATTAGATTTATAGGTTTTAGCCCCTCACATATTAAAATTGAAGAAAATAGCTCTAACTTTATACTAATTGTTAATTCTGTTAGTTTGTTTGTAGTTGAAAGTAGATTTTTATCAACTAACAATCAACTAATAGCCAATTAACAAAATTAACAAAATATTATAAAGTTAGTTCCATTAACTCTATTAGCGAAAAAAAGGTTTTTGACAACTAATAGTCAATTAACAATCAGCAAATAGAGTTAGCAGTTAACTAATAGAACTAACAAAATGTTACAAAGTGAGGGTTATTTTCTTCAATTTTAATAGGTGAGGGACTAAAAGTACTATATTATAAAATGATGGGTTAAAACCTATAAATTTAGTAAGATGAGGGGTTAACAATATCATAATATAATATAAGATGAGAGATGAGAGGCTAAAATATTCAAACTTGACAAGGAAAGAGGCTAAAAATAGGCTTTTGCCGTTGTTGCCTAGACAAGTATAATGACAGTTTTTTTTTAGGACAATGATTAGTACATCATCTGATTTAATATATTATATAATACATTTTAATTTAATTATTAAAATTTGTCTTTAGAAATATTTTTGTCATGAATTTAAATTTGAAAATAATAATTTCTTAATAATTGTATTATAAAATGTGTTAAATCAAAAGGTGTATCAGTTATTTTTTTTTCTCTTATTATTTGACTTTATTTTTATTTATTATGTCATATTTTAAATTATAAAATAAAAATTATTAGCTGAAAAGATCATCTTTAATGTTAAAGGACTTGTCCAAAATTCAAGGGCTTAAGTTTTGTACAATTGTTTAGATTACAGAATACTTTTTGTAACCAGCCTTCCCGTTGGCCTGCTGGCTAAGCAATTCGTTTAAGAATGCTTTAGTCACTGGTCATTGGTTCAAAGGTTGGTAACAGAACAGAAGACCAGAGAATACTTTTTGTATTATTTAACTTAAAATTTAAAAAAAGTTTTTACAATAAATTGATTTTTGTTTTTTAACTTATCATTGAAATTGCGTGAAAGATGATTGTTAGGCAAAATACTAGATACGTTGAAAATGGTATTTGCTCTTCAGGCAGGTGCTTTTAGTGAAATAACATGTATTTACTCATTTCGCAGGTTGGTTGGCTGTGGACACTTTTCTCCCCTGGGGTCTTTTTGGTTAGAGGGCAACTTTCTCAATCAGTTAAGAGGATAATTTTATCAAGAAAATT